TCAGCAAGAGGCAATTGGAAAAATCCACAGCTGCATGGAGTATTCTGGGTGTCACAGTCCCCTCCCCAAAAGAGCCACAAATGGGACAGCTCCAGTTTATTACATTGTGTGTAGATAAGAAACTTCACAGTTTTGTTACAAACTAAAATTGAAAGGGAGATTGGGATTCAATCCCACTGAAAACTGGAGTGCCAATGTGAAGAGGGAACCTTTGACACCAGGAAACTTTTTTCCTACCACTCAAGTGATTCAGCTTGACACAAAGCTCTCCTTTTTGTACAGACACCACCCTCACTTTGTTTCACTGTGTCCCCAGTACAGTTATACATGGCTGTGTCGGCAGCTGTCAGGGACCTCAGTTCAAGATAATATGCATTCTTGGATGCATCAGCAGTGATGGAGGCCCTACTGCAGAAAGCTGAGTCATAAGATGACTTCCAGGATACACTGTAAGGTAAAGGTAAAGGATCCCCTTGACAATTTTTTGCCCAGTCGTGTTCGACTCTAGGGGGCGGTGTTCTTCCCCGTTTCCAAGCCATAGAGCCAGCGTTTGTCCAAAGACAATCTTCCGTGGTCACGTGGCCAGCGTGACTGGCACGAAACGGGATTTTACCTTCTCACTGAGGTGGTACCTATTTATCAACTCACATTTGCATGCTTTCGAACAGCTAGGTTGGCAGGAGCTGGGACAAGCGACGGGAGCTCACTCCACCACGTGGATTCGATCTTACGACTGCTGGTCTTCTGACCCTGCCGCACAGAGGCTTCTGCGGTTTAGCCCGCAGCGCCACCACATCCCTTATAGGATACACTGTAGTATATATATATTTAGTCCAGCCGTGTCCAACTCTAGGGTGTGGTGCTCATCCCCGTTTCCAAGCCGTAGAGCCAGTGTTTGTCCGAAGACAGTTTCCGTGGTCACGTGGCCACCGTGACTGGCACGAAATGGGATTTCACCTTCCCACTGAGGTGGTACCTATTTATCAACTCACATTCGCATGCTTTCGAACGGCTAGGTTGGCAGGAGCTGGGACAAGCGACGGGATCTCCCTCCACCACGTGGATTCGATCTTACGACTGCTGGTCTTCTGACCCTGCCGCACAGCGGCTTCTGCGGTTTAGCCCGCAGCGCCACCACATCCCTTATAGGATACACTGTAGTATATATATATTTAGTCCAGCCGTGTCCAACTCTAGGGTGTGGTGCTCATCCCCGTTTCCAAGCCGTAGAGCCAGTGTTTGTCCGAAGACAGTTTCCGTGGTCACGTGGCCACCGTGACTGGCACGAAATGGGATTTCACCTTCCCACTGAGGTGGTACCTATTTATCAACTCACATTCGCATGCTTTCGAACGGCTAGGTTGGCAGGAGCTGGGACAAGCGACGGGATCTCCCTCCACCACGTGGATTCGATCTTACGACTGCTGGTCTTCTGACCCTGCCGCACAGCGGCTTCTGCGGTTTAGCCCGCAGCGCCACCACATCCCTTATAGGATACACTGTAGTATATATATATTTAGTCCAGCCGTGTCCAACTCTAGGGTGTGGTGCTCATCCCCGTTTCCAAGCCGTAGAGCCAGTGTTTGTCCGAAGACAGTTTCCGTGGTCACGTGGCCACCGTGACTGGCACGAAATGGGATTTCACCTTCCCACTGAGGTGGTACCTATTTATCAACTCACATTCGCATGCTTTCGAACGGCTAGGTTGGCAGGAGCTGGGACAAGCGACGGGATCTCCCTCCACCACGTGGATTCGATCTTACGACTGCTGGTCTTCTGACCCTGCAGCACAGGCTTCTGTGCTTTAACCTGCAGTGCCACCACATCCCTCACTGAGGAACTGTAGTATATACCCCCTATCCATTCCATCCGTTTCTAAGGTGTCTGTCGGATCCATCATAATGAGAAGTCATACTGTAACCAGAGACTGTGCCAGGTCAGCCAGAGGGATTCTCCAGGCTTCCACATCCCCCTATCAGACTGGGTCAAGTGGAGTTTGGAAAAGCCTAAAGAAAAAAGAGAAAGGAAAAGAATAGGTTGTGTAAATCGTAAATGTTGCAAACAATAAAAGAAACATATTTTAAAAATTGTTGAAATGGGTTTTTATATCTCACCCCAGTTGTTCACTTAATTGAGAAGACTTGGCCATAGTTGCTAACTCCTTTCTTTGAACTCATTAAGGATGTAAGTGGCAGAAAAACATTTACGATTTCATTTCTTTTTTAAAAAAAAATTAATTAAAGAAAAACAATAATAACGCTAACATAAAATGTGTGTACATACATGCCATAAAATGCTACTAAAATTACACACTGTGCCACCATTACCCTTGGGACCTAATAGCAAAAGATATCCTTTTAATCTCTTTTCACCCCATTCCGCTCCAAAAATACATTGATACTTCTGCTGGCTTATGACCTTTCCCTTTTACAAAAAATAGGCAAATATTTGAGGTATCAAATATGGATTCCATATCTCTTTGAAACCATTATATTTTGTCACTCCCCTTCTTACTTTTATTTCACATGTTAGCTTATCATTTATCAATAGACGCCACATTTCTTTATACCAATTTTAATTTGTTTGTCATTTTTCCAATTATTTGCAAAATTGTTTCATCAGTTCTTGCAACTTTGAAAACAATGGTCTTGAACATCAGAGGAAACGAGAATTGCTCTCTCCCTGGTGCAGTCTCTTTCTATAAAGATATGGAGACTCCCATTCCAAACACTGGCCTGGATTAATTACTGAGAAGACGAAGAGAATCACACCTATGGACTCCATGGTGCTCATGAATATTGATTTTGGATGATGTACAGTTTAACTTTCTGATGAATCCTTTTTTAAAAAAAACATAGACATGGATGACAGTTTGAAATGTCAAAGACGATTAGTACCCAAATACAGGTGCCTCGCAAGACGAAAATAATCCGTTTCATGGTTAATGTCGTCTTGCAATATTTTTGTCTTGAGAGGCACGGTTTCCCATAGGAATGCATTGAAATTGCATTGAAATTTCAATACATTCCCATAGGAGTGCATTGAAAAGGAAAGAAAAGGAAAAAGAAAAAGAAAGCCTTTTTCCATTTGGAGGCTTGCCGAAGGCAGGGGAAAAGGGCAGGAAAATAAAAAAATGGTGCTGAACAAGCCTCTGCAAGCACCGATCGCCGCGTGGAGGGACCACCACCAGTCCTCTGATGGTGTAGGGGAAGCCCCACAGGGGTCCCTCCACGTGGTGATCACGGTGAGTGCCCCCCCCCCACGAGTCCTCCGATGGTGCAGAGAAAGCCTCCAAATGACTCTGAAGCCAGTGATCACAGCTGCAGAGGGCCCCGCAAGTCCTCTGATGGTGCAAGGGAAGCCCCGGGGTACCTCTGAAAGCGGTGATTGTGGCTAGGGCCCCCCCCCCGCCAGACCTCTTATGGTGCTTCCCCAGCTCCCTAACTGGTAAGTGACTTTTTCAGACTTTTTCCCATAAAGGTAAAGGTAAAGGTTCCCCTTGACATTTAGCCAGTCGTGTCCGACTCTAGGGTGCGATGCTCATCCCCGTTTCCAAGCTGTAGAGCCAGCATTTGTCCATAGACAGTTTCCATAGTCAAGTGGCCAGCGCAACTAGACACGGAACGCTGTGACCTTCCCACCATGGTGGTCCCTATTTATCTACTTGCATTTGCATGGTTTCGAACTGCTAGGCTGGTGAGGAGCTGGGACAAAGCGACGGGAGCTCCCTTCATTGCGTGCATTCGATATGACTGGATTTGATCTTACGGCTGCTGGTCTTCCAACGTTGTAGCACAGAGGCTTCTGCGGTTTAACCCGCAGCGCCACCACGTACTCTTAGTTTCCTAGACTTAATGAAATATTATTACGTACATGATAAAGATTCAGTATGTGTGAGTGCTTGTGGGTGGAAACTTGTTGCATGGAACCACACAAGTAGAGTTATGCATGCCCCAACCAACACTGATAGCTTTTTGCATTCTCCCATATTCGTGGGGTTCTGAATCATGTATTTTTGAACCTGCTTGCATGAGTACCTGGATACAAAACTTACTGGAGAATTCTGGGAGACATAGTTTCAAAGAAAATAAGCCATAAATGGTCACACCTCCAATTTAATTTACTGTGTGTACATGAGAGACTTAACAGCTTGATTACAAACTAAAATTGGAAACGGGTGATGTGAAATCAGTGAAATCACTGAAAACTGGATTCTCAATGTGAAGAAGGAAGCTTTGGTACCAGAAAACAATTTTCTCCTCTCCCAACTGAATGAACATGACATGAAGTTCCCCTTTTTGTACAGATGCCAGATTTGCTTTGTCCCACTGTGTATCTAGCACAGTAATACACAGCTGTGTCGGCAGCTGTCAGGGACCTCAGCTGCAGATAATATTCATTCTTGGAGGCATCAGCCGTGATGGAGATCCTGCTCTGAAAAGCTGAGCTATAACCTGGCTTCCAGGTGGAACGGATGTAGCGTCCTGTCCCTAACCATTCCAGTGCTTTTTTGGATGGCTGGCGGAACCAATCCCATTCAGCACCAGAAGTCATGGTGTAACCAGAGACTTTGCAGGTCAGCCGGAAAGATGCTCCAGGCTTCCATGTCCCCTCACCGGACTGGGTTAAGCGAATTTCTGAAAAGCCTAGGGGAGAAAATTTAAAAAAATTAAAATAGATAGGAGCAGTCGCAGCTGGCCTTCAGCAATGGTAGAATCATTTATTTTGCCCCACATTATTTTTTCCTTGTTACAATCTCTTTCCATAGAAAATGGAAACTCCCACATACCTGGCTTAAGGAATGAAAAGAGAAACAGAAAGACAGTTACAAAATCCATTGTGATTACTAGGGTGGGATGTGAAGGGGTGGAAACCTCTATTTAAAGAGTGAGGTAGCCCATGAGCCTATTTGCATATGGAGAATAGGCTTCACATTCAGACATTAAAGAGGCGTTAATAAGCTCGAATGGAATCCGTTATCTCTCTCTTAATTCCTCTGTCAAAGAGGCACAGTGATTCATGGGATCCCCACCCTCCGGCTCTACAGGCAGATACTTAAACCACAGGTCTATCCAGCTGTTTGCAATGGTTTGAGATTGGGATATTTAGGGTACAAATGGAATTTTCCAAAAATAATGGGCGACAGCAGCTTAGAAATATATTTTTCATGGGGGATTTCTAAAAGAAATTGACGATGAGTATATCTCTTGATGTTTGTTCCAGCGAAATCGCTGTAGAGCCAAAACGTCGTAAAGCGAAAATAAAAAACCCATTGAAACACATTAAAACCCGGTTAATGCGTTCCAATGGGCTAAAAACTCACTTTCAATTGAAGATCCTCCATAAGGCAGCCACTTTCGGTGCCTGTATAGTGAGGAATCCGTCCCTCAACATAGCCGGGAGCCATTTTGAACATCCAGCGGCCATTTTGAAAACCTGACGATCAGCTGTTTTGATTGTTGTAATGCTAAGAATCGGTTCCCGAAGCAGGGAACTGATCTTCGCAAAGCGAAAATACCCCATTTAAAACATCGTTTTGCGATTACAGTTGCGATTGCAAAAACATCATCGTAAAGTGGATTCATCGTCATGCAGGGCAATCGTTAAGCGGGGCATGACTGTATGTGCAAAGAAGCATAAGAGATACATTTGTTGTGTGCAAAGGAATAATCGTGAATTCTTATTTCTATAAATTTATTTGTTCCTGCTGAGTGGGTACAAGTGTTTTTAGCATCAGAAAACTGTCCTCAACAAAAGAGAGAAAAAAAGTCTTTTTCCATACAGATGCCAGACTGGTTTTGTGCCCCTGGGTCCTGTCAAAAAGCCTACTTTGACACAGGGCAGAAAGAGGCCAGCCATCTCAGATGATGAGTGAGATGGGATGGGAGTCATATCAGAGTGTTGTTGGACGGAACTGCATGAGGGACCAAGATGTAGATTTGGATTTTACCTCACTGTATCCTGTGTTCCTGTAATGTGAGGAGAGAACCTTTTGCATCAGGAAATGTTTTTCCCTGCTCCCAAATAATTCAACTTGACACATACATAGGCATCCTTCAGTCTCGAGAGACTATGGTGACATGCTCTGAATCGAGGAGTGTCCTCTCCAGAGCATGAAGCCCGGGTAAGGTAATATGGAGGATAGGCTGTTACCCAAGCAGCAGATCCCCCCTCTCCACATTGCTGAAATGGTCCAATGGAAAGGCAAGAGCCAATACAACTGGTTCCAGCAACGTCGCAGGAGTTGGCAGAACGACACGAGCTGCCTTCGGGACTCCAGCTCCGGATTTTACCTCGAGGTTAACTCCTGAAGCCTTTTCCATGAGTGGATATAGCCACAAGGCAGTGGAGGTTTGAAATTGGAGTTTTCCTTCTCCTGGATGGGCTGCCTTCCATGGCTGACGAGCCCCACCTCGTCACAACATCCCCCTTTTTTGTACAAAGGCCAGACTTGCTTTGTCTCACCCCTGCTCTTCAAACACAGTAAGACACAGCTGAGTCTGCAGCTGTCAGGGATCTCTGCTTGAGATAATATCCATTCTTTGAGGTGTTGCTAATGATGGAGATCCTTCTCTGGAAAGCTGAGCCACAAATAAATATGCCCAGAGTAGCTGTGCTAGAACTAAGTACCAAAATGACCACTTCTATATATAAAAATACCTCCACCTCTAGAACCACCATATATATATGGCCCTGCGGTTGAATCCAGCAACCCACTTCATCACAGGGCACAATGAGGCAGTTGCGTGGGGAGGAAAGGTAGAATTATGGCGGTGCATTCTTGGAGGTACCTGCACGAGGCACCTGGATACAAAACTTCTTGGAGAAGTTTGGCAATCATAGTCCCAAGAAAAAAAGCCTCAAATGGACATAACCTCTGGTTTGATTCCATGTGAGGAGATGAGAAACTTCACTGTATTATTACAAAACCAAAATTAAAAACATACATTTCGATTCTACATCACAATACTAAATAGGTGTGTCATTGAGAAGACAGAACCTTTGGCATCAGGAAATTGTGATCTCCCCACAACTCATTCAATGGACACAAAGTTCCCCTTTCTGTACAGAGGTTGTGCCAGGGGCTGTCAGAGATCTCGGTTCAAGATAATACTCATTCTTGGGGGCATTGGTAGTGCTGGAGATCCTGCTCTGGAAAGCTGAGCCATAATCTGCCTTCCAGGTGCAACTACTGCACTATCCCCTCCCTTTCCATTCCAGTCCTTTTTTTGGGGTGGCTGGCGGATCCAGTGCCCGGAATAGCCAGAAATCATGGGGTATCCGGAGATGGTGCAGAAGAGTCAGTTTAAAGAGGAATGTATCCGAAAGGCCACCTTCAGGTGGTGGGTGGGAGGGGATAAAGCCATGCACAGGTCTTGTGGGAGGGATCAGTATGATGAGGCACTAGGATCCACGGCTTTGTGATGAAGTGAGTCCCAATTCAAAGAAAAGCCACAAATGGAAACTCGTCTAGTTTAGTTTGCCGTTTGCAGATGAGAAATGTCACAGGCATCTTACAAAGTAAAATTGGAAAGGGAGATTTGTCCACCACCTCGCTGAAAACGTGAGTGTCAAGTAGAAGGAGAAAGCTCTGGCATCAGGAAACGGTTTTCTCCCCTGTGGCCTGATTCAACGTGAGATAATGTTCCCCTTTTTGTACAGACCCCAGATGTGCTTTGTCTCACTGTGATTCTCGGGCACAGTAATACACGGCTGTGTCGGCAGCTGTCAGGGACCTCAGCTCGAGAGAATATTTGTTCTTGGAGGCATCAGCCGTGATGGAGACCCTGCTCTGGAAAGCTGAGCCATAATTTGTGTACCATTTGGAACTACTGTAGTATATCCTCCCTATCCATTCCAGTCCCTTCTCGGGTGGCTGGCGGATCCAATTCCAGGAATACCCAGAAGTGACGGTGTCTCCAGAGACCGCGCAGGTCAGCTGTAGGGTTGTTCCAGGCTTCCATGTTTCCCCACCAGACTGTGTCAAGCGGATTTCAGAATATCCTAGGAGAAAGAGAAAGAAAATTGTTAGGAAAGGGAAATGGTTAATGTCCTCCCTTTAATACTTTGAGTATTGTGAAGAGTGAAAAATATTTTACATTATTTTAGCCACACTTGCATGAGTAGAACCAGTTAATTCCCACTTATTCCTTTTCCCCTGCTTGAACCTTTCTCTATATGATGAAGGAAACACCGAATCCAAACACAGACCTGGCTTAAAGATGGAGAAGACAAAAAGCAACAGAGCTAGAGAGTCCATGGTAATTTCTAGGATGGTCTGTGAAATGGAGGAAACCTCTATTTTAAGAGTGAGGAAGCCCATGGCCACATTTGCATATGGAGGTCGTGCCTGGCATTCACGCATAAAAGAGACACGAAGAAGCTCGAACACGCTTGTATGAGGTCACACAAGTAGGGTTATGTATCTCTGCCTTCCCCACTGATAGTTCTTTGCATTCTCGCTCATTAGTGGGATCTTTCTTGAGAAGGGAGATCCAGAAATGTAGTGAAAATAATGCCATGATGCGTGAAACAAAGCAGGTCAGAACCCATGCCAAACATTTGAGGGAAGTCAATTCTGAGGTAAATACAATCATTCCGGGCCAAGGAGATTCTCCTCCCCACTATTTTTGATGGTGGCTACATTATTTTCATCATTAGTTATTATTAGTTTTAATTACATAATACATTTTTCTCACCCAAAGTGGCTCAGAACATTAAAATTCACACAATTTAAATGCACAATAATTTACCGTATTTTTCGCTCATAAGATGCACCTTTCCATAAGACGCACCAATTTTTTAGGAGAAGAAAACAGGAAAATATAATGTTTTCTTCGCTCCATAAGACGCAGAGACTTTCCACCTCCCTGTTTTGTGGGGAAAAAGTGTCTTATGGTGTGAAAAATACGGGTAAGTATTAAAAGATAAATTAAACAATATACGATTTAAAACACAATTAAAAGATTAAAACATGAAAATATTAAAAAAAATTAAAATCTGTATGTTCCTGAGTTGACCAGGATGTCTGGAAAGAAACATGAGAGGTAACCTGGGAGCTGCCACAGAAAAGGCCCTGTGGCTGAATCTGTAGGATCTTTAGCCTACTAGGATGTTTGCACATGACTAGAAGCTGCCAGGGGAACTCCTCATAGGAAGGTCTCCGTTCCAGATCTATTCTTGATTTCATTAACAAACATTCTGTGGACACATTACTTGGAATTTCTCAATATTGCATGACAAGTGAAGATTGTGTTTCAATCATCACTTAAACCCTAAAACTGTAAGTAGATCTTCTGATTGCTGCCAGGGGGGGTGAGGTGGAGAATGCAACCTAACTGCCAGTATAATGAACTCATATTGAATGGAATAAATGAACTGCTCCAAAGTTTTCCAAAATGGGATATGCAATTTTCAAGGAAGTTATTAACTACTCTGTGAGATAGTTTGACAGGGTCATCGAGGCGGCCAGCATGAATTTGACTGAACTCCGGGAAGAAGTGAAAGACAGGGGGGCCTGGCGTGGTCTGGTCCATGGGGTCACGAAGAGTCAGACACGACTTAACGACTAAATAACAACAAAATTAACTACCCAGTGACAACCCCTTTACTGCTCCAAACTAGCATTAGGACCAAGCAGCAGGCAAGATTTTGTCAGCCTGAATGTGGACTGATTCTTTCTTGCACGATCCTGGTTGAGATTTTAGACTGGCATCTCTTGGTTAGAATTCAGGGCGTATTTGTGTTGGAACTTTCTGGCTCCTGAGATGAGAATTCTTGGTCATGATGATGAAGCACATTGACAGATTGAGCTGCCATCTAATGGCCGTAGAAGAGCATGCAAGGCTCTGCCCCAAAACTCAGGATATCGGAAAGAGTGATAACGCTCCATTGGACAGCTTAATGGAGATGGCAAAGAAGACAGCATGACATTCCCAGGAACTTCTGCCATTATAATGGACTCATATTGAATGGAATAAATGAACTGTTCTCTTAATTTTCAAATACATATAAGATTTATTTTCATAGTTCTTAAGTATATATTTAATATATTAAGGATATTTGTATATATTTATAACTATATAGTTTATAGTTTACAGTTCCTACGGTGTGAAAAGAGGAGCTTTGACGAACTTGGAGCACCAGCAAATTGTCTTTCATTTTTTTTAAAAAGAGAAGAGGTTCTTGTACTTTACAGATGCCAGACTTCTTTTGTACCCCCAGAGACTGAAGAGAAGCCCACTTTGGCCCCGAGCAGAATGAGGCAGCCACCTCAGGCGGTGGGTGAGGGGAGGGGATAAAATCACGTGGTGGTACTGTGGGAGGGATCTGCATGTGGCACTAAGATCCACAGCCCTCTGATGAAGTCTGTGAGTCCTAATTTAAAAATACTGTAATCAGCCACAAATGGGCCCATTTCCACTTTAATTCACTGTTTCTGGCTGAGAAACATCACAGGCTTCTTACAAAGTAAAACTGGGAAGGGAGATTTGGATTCCGTTTCACCGGAAACTGAAGTCTCAATGTGAAGAGAGAAGGTCTGACACCAGGGAAATGTTTTCTCCTCACTGACCTGATTCAACGTTTGATAAAGTTCCCCTTTTTGTACAGACCCCACACACGCTTTGTCTCACTGTGATCCTCGGGCACAGTAATACACGGCTGTGTCGGCAGCTGTCAGGGACCTCAGCTCAAGATAATATTCGTTCTTGGAGGCATCAGCCGTGATGGAGATCCTGCTCTGGAAAGCTGAGCCATAATTTGTCTTCCAGTTGGAACTGCTGTAGTATCCCCTCCCTATCCATTCCAGTCCTTTCTGGGGTGGCTGGCGGATCCAATTCCAGTTATACCCAGAAGTCATGCTGTATCCAGAGACCGCGCAGGTCAGCCGGAGAGTTGCTCCAGGCTTCCATGTCTCCCCACCGGACTGGGTCAAGCGGATTTCAGAAAAGCCTAAGAAAAACAGCCAGAAAATGAGACATCATATAAATTTGTAAAAGCTGCATGTCATAAAACCAAACAACACATTTTAAAAATGGTTGAAATCGATTTTTTCTCTCTCTCTTCAGGGACAGTCATAAATTCCCAACAGTATTGCTAATGGCTTTCCTTGAACGTATTCGGGATTTTGCAGGATCAAGGACATTTTAAGAATAGTGTTCTAGACTAGAATCCATTCCTGGACCCATATTCCTTTTTCCCTGCTCAAATTCCTCTCCCTCTTTTCCACCACACACCTGGCTTGAGGACTGACAGTAGAAAGAGAAACACAGCTATAGAGTCCATGGTGATTTCCAGGATGGGCTGTGAGGAAATGGAGGAAATCTCTATTTTAAGAGTGAGGTAGCGGAGGTGCGATTTGCATGAGGAGGTTGTACTTGATATTCATGCATAAAAGAGACATGAAGAAGTTCAGACATGCTCTCTCATTCTCTTTTTTCCCCTCCATTTACTCATCACGTACCGTAGCTAGTGGTTTCAAATGAATCTTTGAACACATTATTATTATTATTATTATGAGGAGGTTGTATATTCATGCATAAAAGAGACATGAAGAAGTTCAGACATGCTCTCTCATTCTCTTTTTTCCCCTCCATTTACTCATCACGTACCGTAGCTAGTGGTTTCAAATGAATCTTATCTTT